AATATTTAACAAGGATAGAACGTTTCCAGACACAATTCTAAGTCCAAAAATAGTATACTCGTATTCTTCTATTAGGAGTAAAAATGACATTATTAAAGATCTATTGCGGTCCCGCTAATTTTCTTGGTATGCTCCTTCCTTGGTTGTTTTATTTAATGGTTTATTTTGTTTTTTTTATCAAGAACAATTAAATAAAAGCAGAAAAGTATAATCTAGATTGAAATTTCATGTCCCGTTTAAGCGTATCAATTTGTGGTCAGACGCCACTTTCACTAAATATTTTTTAAACCTAAAAAGCATTTTTTTCTGTAGAAAATTTGTCAAAATCAATTAATTTAACACCATTGAATAGTGTGGGAGAAAGAAAAAAACTATCTTATACTGAACATAAACAACTGAACTGAAAAATATAAAAAAATATATATGAAACAAATTGGTCTAACTTTCGGTCTAACCAATAAAAAAAGTTATTACTCTTCAAAACCGTTAAAACATATGTAGGTGGCGCCCCCTACAAATAGGAGTCATATTGACATCAAAATCAAATTTCTCATGTCAAAAAAATCCCAGACACCAATTTTCATCCAAATATTGACGTTACTTGAGAAATTATTTGGAAAAAATCGAAATAAAAATGAAACTACACCCTGTATCTCCGAAACTAAGCATTTTAGGACATACATGTATACGAACTTTTTTACTTATTTTTATCTGAAGAATATGCTGCCAACGTTTCCGGAAAACAGTTCGGACCACCCTGTATAAGTAAATTTTAATGGTATCCAATTAAAAAATATAGGGATGGAATTTAATAATTCATATTACCATAGAAACGCGTTTAAATTCTAGTACTTCCATATTCCTAATAAAAATTCCAGCATATTTTTATGTTTTTCTTAATGTTCTCTAAAATGGTATGGAAATATGGTAAACGGGAAATTTTTATGAAGAATGCATTTTTTTCACAATGTCAAAAATAAAAAACAAGATAAAAAGGAGCGCTCTATTTATTTTTCAGCTCTGAAGCGGAACTCAAACTCAAAGAGTAAACGGCGCTAATTGATATAGAGTAAATTGTTTTATTTTTAGGATTTCTGGATTACCTTTAAAAATAACCGAGGACCTATTTATAAATATGGAAGGCGGTCTAAAATGATCTTGAAAAGGTAGGAAAGCAACGTTTCAGACTAAACAGAGTTATTAAAAACTAAAATAGAGCTTTTGGTGTTGAGTTTAAATTGGTGTTTGGTGTATTATAATTGATTTGTGAACTTTTCAAAAGGCGTCCAAAAGATGACGAAATTAAAAATTCACATGTTCTTTTCAACTAAAATGACAGACCACTGTTATGTAGTCCTTTGGTAAAGACAATGTATAATGAATCAAACGAAAAAAGAGCAAATATATCACTGACGGTCATGGTCTGTCATTTTAAATCAAAGGTAGTCATATAAGACGACTCATCAAAAGTCATACAAAATGAATGTTTCAGATAATTGTATTTTTTTGTTGAATATTTCTTAGAAAATAATAAAACTAAAAAAGCATTCAATTTTTGAAATAATTAAAACAGAGTAAAATTAAAATATAAATGCTCTTTTATAACATTGCTTGTATTAACTGTAATCATTATGTTTGATATCATAATAACTCTGTTTTTCTTTGTAAAAATAATTAAGATTAATTGGATTATTATATTGACATCAATTAATGAACAGTATGGCATCAGCTCGTAATAAAAATATATTGACTAAAAAATACATTTATAACTGGCAGCTCGAAAGAATTTAAAAATGTAGTAAATAAAGATTATAACGATGTAATAAACATAAAATCGACAGCTGGATAAATAGAATGTAAAATGATAAGCTCCTTTAAGACAAAAGTAGTAACAATAAAAGAATAAATATAGTTTAGCAGACCTAATTATCCACATATAGTTCGTTTTATAATCGTTGCCAACCTCGAAACCAAGAAAAACCATTTTTGTATCTATACATCCGGTCAAATCTCAGAAATCTGGGGGTCAAATATTAAACATCTTGTGAAATATTTATTCATTGCAATTCAGAAAGAATTTAGTGAATAGACTTACAGAGTGTTAACAAATATGTGCCATTTCTCCTGGGGAGATTCCTCACGTAAAAATAAGATTTATGTTTTATATCAATATATTCCGAATTTTCTAAAATAACTGACCTAATCAATGACACATGTCGCGTCGCGTTTGCGTCGCGTCCGCCCCATTGAACCCCGACGCTCAGCGGACGCTAGCGCAACGCCAAACGCGAACGGCCTGAACGGTCTAATTTAAGTTAAGTGAATTGATTCCATAGACTTAAAATAAAATATAGACTACACTATTTACATCTCAAAGCGGCCAAACAATCTTTTTTGTACACAGTTTACTTCTGGGTACAGTCGATCGAGCCTTCCTCATCCAGCCTATGTTGTCACGTCTTTAATATTATCAATATTTTTTTTTCTTATTATACACATATATTGAGATATTAATACTACAGTTTAATAAAGTAGGTTTTAATATTCCATAGATGTATTAAATAGTCCTTATGCTACTAAATTATAAGTCGGATACTGTTTAAAAAGGATAAGTTCTTTACAATATGACAACACCGATTAGAGGCGAGGGAGCCTATTCATTCATTTATTACCTTGTAGTACGCGTCGCACGTGTGCGGTAAAACTATGTTGCCGCTATGTCCCCGGCTGTATTAACGCATTTTCTTAGCTTGTAGTCCTTAAGTGTTTATTTTATTGACTTTTTCTGTTCAAGAACTATAAAATATGGTTCGCCAGTGCCAAATTTACAAAACAATTTGACTTAAATAATCCATTTAAGTCTTGAAACGACTTTCGACCGGTAGGCAACTCTCAATTTACCCATTGGAAGTCAGTGGCGTTGTTGTAGAAAGACGCTTATTTAGATAATATTTTAGTAAAATGTAAAATCTGAATTTTTTCTCTTACATTATATTATTTACTTACTTACATTGTAACAAAATCATAATTATAACCCTGTTAATAATGAATAATGTTTTTATTAAAAATATATTCCGGTTTATTCTAAAAATATCTTCAGAATCTAAAACAACATACAAGAATTTTAAAATGATATTACATTATGAAACAATATTTTTTAATATACCGGGTCGTCTCAAAAGTGGCTCAACCCTATAACTTTTTTATTTTTTCAGATAATATGACATAAATTAGGATTTATTGGCCTCTTCCTGTGTCACCGAAATGATTACATCTTTTGATTTTTAAAGGCACCCTCGGTATATTGCTACTTTATTCGATAAAAAATGACACTCTGAATAGAATGACATATCATATGTCAACTTTTGACATTGTCGCTTAAAAACAAATCGTATTTTAAATTTCAATCCAGGGTGCCACGGTGTTGTTAAAAACACTAAGTTTTAATCAAGGAGCCTTGGAAAAATAGTTTTGATCGTTTAATGGGTTTCGTGTCTTGTCTAGACCGGTTAAAAGATGTACAAATCGTATTTTTAATCATACATATGTCAATTTTTTTAAATGGAACAAGGGTGACTCATTAGCATATTTGGAAAAAGCATTTTTTATGAATATATTGATACCACACACTTGGTATTTCGAGTCAAATTGTCGTTATGAACCGCGTGTTACAGTTACAATTAAACCATATGCGAATTTAACCATATGCGAATTAAACCATTATGCGAAAATGTCAAAAGTTGACATATGATATGTCATTCTATTCAGAGTGTCATTTTCTATCGAATAAAGTAGAAATATACCAATGGTGCCGTTTAAAAATAAAAAGTTATAGTCATTTCCGGTGAAACAGGAAGTGACCAAAAACAATTGAATGCGTCAATCAATCCTAATTTATGTCATATACTAACATACTAAATCTTGTTTTTTTATTTGAAAATGTAAAAAAATTATGGGGATGAGCCACTTTTGGGACGCACCCGGTATAATAAAGACAGTACCGAGTTAAATAAATGTAGTTTTCATTTTATCCACTTCCTCTCACCTTCCTTGCTTTAATGGAACAGATTTATGTTTTCTCTAATTTACATAATAATACTTAATTACACTTAACCAAACAAAAAATTACAACAATCATATTTTTTTTTCTCTCCCTGTCGCCGATTCTATTAATCTGTGGAATAGATCCTGTTTTGATTAATATTAGGGGTTGTAAATGTTTAACTAAAATTAATAATCTATTATTAATTTCAAAAATTACGTAATTTCGATTATATATATTTTATTATTTTTATCCTTTTTGGACTCTAAGAAGTTTTTTCTAAACTTTTATTTAAAAAAACTGTTCTAAATCTTAATAAAACATAAAAAAGTTTAAATACGATATATTTTTGTTGTTTTTCGGCAGTGTCGTCAGGGAACGACCGTTACGACAGAGACAACCTATCTATCGCTCGTGTCGCACTCGTTATAACCTAAAACAATAACACAACAATAACAAGACATTGTCTGACCGCATGTTCCGGCTATTTATGAATGAGATGCTCAGTCTATATTTTATTTTAAGTCTATGATTGATTCCATTTCGACACGCGGACGCGACGCAACGCGATGCGACGCTCGACGCTCTCAGCCTGAATGTACCTTTAGATTTTATCTCATCATGGAAAATTTTTAGTTCATTAAAAATCACGTTACTGTTGTGTTGACCTAAAAATAGTTTTTGCATTTTTCGTGTAGGCATAGATTAGGAAAAAAGTGAAATTATTTTTAACTTTTTGAAATATATACATACATACGAAATTAGAAAATCATAAAATAGATATTTATTTGTTAGATTTTAGGTGTAGATCATGATATATACCTGCGGAATTTATTCAAAATTATCTTATTTATCTGCCCAACCTAACAAACCTAAGGCCAAGCAAAATAAACATTACTCCTAATTTAAACTCTTGATTTTGAAATAGAAAAACAATTTAGGTATATAACAAACTTACATTTGTATCGAATAACTTCTTCAGTTCCTCGTACAGCCACATCTCCACCGCCAGCCTTTTCCTGATCAGACTCATCTGATGATGGCCGTACTTTGCCGTGAGGAACTTCTCCCGCTTTTCCTTGATCTCGCCCTTGTCCTTGAAATTGACGTGGAGACCCGTCTTGGCAGGCGACCTACTCGTCCTCTGGACATCGCTGACTGCCAGAATGCCGGCCGCTGGAGAGGACGGTCCACCACCGTTGGCCACGTAGCCACTCTGCAAGCCTACTTCCATTGGTCGAAGATGAAGAAAGGAATAAGTCCTGCAATAAAAGGGAAATATTAGTTAAATAACCACCCTGTCCGAACTGTATTCCGAAAACTTCAGCAGCATATTCTGCAGATAAAATTAAGTAAAAAAGGTCGTATAAATGTATGTCCTAAAATGCCTAGTTTCAGAGATACAGGGTGTAGAAGTTTCGTTTCATTTTTATTTCGATTTTTACCAAATAATTTCTGAAGTAACGTCAATATTTGGATGAAAATTTGTGTCTGGAAGTTTTTTGACATGAGGAATTTGATTTTGATGTCAATATGACTCCTATTTGTAAGGGGTGCCCCTAAGGGTGCCCCCTACATATCTTTTAACTGTTTTGAAGAGTAATAACTTTTCGTCCGTACCTGTATAAAACTAGTGAGTGAAAAAATATACATTTACGACGTTTTTTACGTAACAAAAGTCTCTTGGTAAAAATCGCTACGAGCTCAAGATATTTAGAATGGAAATAGTTAATACATGTCATTATTGACAAAAACTAAACACGTGTTGAGTAGATACGAGTAGTTATTTGACTGAAATAATAAATTTTGGAAATTTTTATTTTTTAAATCTATACTAATACAGTGGTGGCCAAAAGTATGGAAACCTTTTTAATTTGTCATTTATGCTGAGAAATTAAAATATGAAATAAAACGACTTATATAATCGTGACCTACAAATAATTTCCTACGAAACCTAATACATTTAAATAAAAAATTACAGCTATCAAAAAATATATAAAAAATTATGAATATTTTCTTGGTTAAAAGTATGGAAACTTAAGAAGAATGTTTATTAAAATTCAAGATAATATAAAAATTACTAATATTTAGTGGAATATCCCTTTGAAATTAATTACTTCTCTACATCTTCGTGGCATCGAATCGATCAATCTCGTACAATCTTTACTGGAAATGGCCGCCCATTCAGTTTTTAGCACTTCCCATAATTCATTTTTATTTGAAATAGAATGGCTTCGAATTTTGCGATCCAAATGGTCCCATAATCCATTAGTGGAACATTATGTTCATTTAACCAATTTTGAACAAACCGAGATTTGTGCTTGGGATCATTGTCTTGCTGGAACAACCATCTGAGTGGCATTTCTTCATCAGCATGAGGCAGCATATTATTCTCCAATATGTCTTTGTACAAAAAACGGTCCATTATCCCATCAATTTAACAGGACCAACACCTGAGCGAGAAAAACACCCCCATACCATTATACTACCACCCCCATGTTTTACTGTGGGCGTCTGATACTTTTATGGCTGTACCGTGTACCTTTTGGTCTTCGGACATAACGTCTCCCGTCACTACCAAACAGTTGAAACTTGCTTTCGTCGCTAAACAGTACAGTATTCCATTTCTGATAAGACCAGGTGAGATGATCTTGAGTAAATTTAAAGCGGGCCATCCTATTTTTCTTTGATATTAGTGGTTTCTTCACCGCAACTCTTCCAAAAAGTCCCATGTCATCCAACCTTCTTCTCACCGTGCGTGCAGACACCGATATCCCCTTTCACCCATTTCTCGAGAAATGTCTGTGGATGTTTTCCTTGGATCTCCCATTGATATTCTCTTCATTACTTTCATTGTCCTGTTGCACAACTTTCTTGGTCTTCCTGACTTAAAAGCTGTTGAAACGTTCCCTGTTTTATTAAATTTACGAATTATTTTCGAAACGGTGCTTCTTAAAATGTTTAAATTTTTACTTATTTGAATTTGTTTATAACCGCTCTTGTATAATTCAACTATTTTATTTTTTAAATCCGTAGAGAAATATTTAGACTTGGGCATGATGTTTATATTTATCTGAAGTAAGTCGTACCGTTTATCAGCTTAAACTAAATAATTTTAATGTATTTATTTATGGTTTCCATACTTTTGGCCACAAGAAATCTATTGTTCTCCTACAAAAACTGCTAAACAGATTTTTTTCTCTGTGTAATTTTTGGAATACTTTTATTTGCTGATAAGCTGTTCATTTATATTCCTGAGAGTTTAAGCATAGCAATATTTTCTGTGATATTTTAAAAAGTTAAAAGTTTCCATACTTTTGGCCACCACTGTATATAAAATCCTTAGTGACTGACATACTGATTAATCACGATCCTGCTCAAACCACTCAACGTAAGAAGCTCAATTTTGGCATACAGGTTGATTCTAGGGTGTAGAGGTTCGATAAGAAGGGATTTTTCGAAATTCCAGTTCCAAGAGGGTAAAACCACCCCTCAAATATTACAATATTTTTTATTAAAAAAACGGTCAAGTTTCCGAAAAAACGCTTAAACACGTATATTTTATTTTGTTTTTTTACAATGTTTTACATATTTTAAGATTTTTTAAAAATGTATACAGGGTGTTTCGAAAAATCTGGTCATTGATTAATCACGATCCTGCTTAAAACGCTTGACGTAAAAAGCTGATTTTTGGAAAACAGATTGACTTTAGGGTGTAGAGGTTCGATAAGAAGGGATTTTTCGAAACTCTAATTCTAAGGGGGTGAAACTATCCTTCAAATGTTAATTATTAGTTATTAGTGAGTTTTTCGGAAAAACTCTTGAACACGTATATTTCATTTTGTTGTTTTACATATTTTAAGATTTTTGTAAATTCATACAGGGTGTTTCAAAAAATATGACCATTGAGTAATCACGATTCTGCTTAAACTGCTTGACGTTTAAAGCTGATTTTTGGTAAACGGATTGACTGTGGGGTGTAGAGGTTCGATAAGGAGGGGTTTCTCGAATCTCAAATTTCAAGAGGGTGAAAACGCCCCTCAAATATTACAATATTTGATATTTAAAAAAGGGTTAGTCTTTCGGGAAAACGCTTGGACAAGCATCATTTATTTGGGTTTTTTTACATATTTTGAAATTTTTTAAAAAATCATACACAGTGTTCCAAAAAGTTGGGTAATTTCTTAACCACGATAAACTGCTTGACGTAAAAAGCTTATTTTTGGCAAACGGATTTTTCGAAAGTCAAATTCCAACGAGATGAAACTACCCCTCAAATATTACCAAATTATATAATAATATCGCAATATTGTTTTTTCTCATACTGACATAAATGTGAGAAAATTTTATCCAGTTGTATGTTAGTCAACATGTTTAATTTATGTTAAAGATGATATGTATTGATAATTTCGATTCCAAATACCTCGATAACCATTACCCGTAGCGATTTTTACCAAGAGACCTTTTTTACGTAAAAAACATCGTAAATGTATATTTTTTCATTCACTAGTTTTATACAAATACGGACGAAAAGTTATTACTCTTCAAAACAGTTAAAACACATGTAGGTGGCGCCCTCTACAAATAGGAGTCATATTGACATCAAAATCAAATTTCTCATGTCAAAAAACTCCGAGACGCCAATTTTCAACCAAATATTGACGTTACTTCAGAAATTACTTGGAAAAAATCAAATTAAAAATGAAACTAACCTAACCTAACCTAACATCGGTACGAATGGACAGTAAACGATTATATTTAGATTACTTTTACACTGAAGTTATTCATACATACACATGTTACATCATATAATTCTCAGATGAAACAAATAAGGAAAATCTTTAGCACAGAATATTACAACAAACAAATATGCTATATGCTTTAGTTAACACTAGTTAAATAGTAAGAAAACATTTACTTTACCTTTAATAACATTCTTTGTTACAAAATTTACGAACCAAAATTACATCAACGCGTCCCGAACGGTAGTCTCAAAGCTATTACTTAACACCTATTATCTCTGTTCGTCGCCTGATTTCCCTCTCCCTAGTTTGTGAATAACATTTTAAAAATCAATAATTTTATTTTATCTATACAGAGTGTCCTAACAATGAATGTTTTGAATTTAAAGAAATATGTTCAAAAATGCGGTTCATGTCAAAGTGGAGATCAGATCAAAATAATTTAAAAAAACAGAATTCAATTTCTAAAATATATAAAACTAGCGTGTACCAGCGACTTCGTTCGCGTCGAATTAATCATTTGTAATGGTGATGATAAAGCAAAACAAGAATTTCCATTAACATACAAACTGGATAAAATGTTCTCACATTTATGTCAGCATGAGAAACTTGGTAATATTTGAGGAGTAGTTTCATCTCGTTGGAATTTGACTTTCGAAAAATCCGTTTGCCAAAAATAAGCTTTTTACGTCAAACAGTTTAAGCAGAATCGTGATTAAGAAATTACCCAACTTTTTGGAACACCCTGTATGATTTTTTAAAAAATTTCAAATTATGTAAAAAAACCAAATAAATTATGCTTGTCCAAGCGTTTTCCCGAAGACTAACCGTTTTTTAAATAACAAAAATATTGTAATATTTGAGGGGCGTTTTCACCCTCTTGGAATTTGGGATTCGAGAAAACCCTCCCTATCGAACCTCTACAACACACAGTCAATCCGTTTGCCAACAATCAGCTTTAAACGTCAAGCAGTTTAAGCAGAATCGTGTTTCTTCAATGGTCATATTTTATGAAACACCATGTATAAATTTATAAAAAATCTTAAAATATGTAAAATAACAAAATAAAATATACGTGTTTAAGAGTTTTTCCGAAAAGCTCACCGGTTTGCATAACCAGATTAGTAGTTAGTAATCTGTGGATGTAAGGATGTAACAACAGATAACAAAACCGCGACGTGGAACGCGACAAGTCGTAGTCTGAACACAGTCTGAAGAACTTATTGTTTATTGTTAAACCAATTAGAAGCTATAAATAAATACGTTTTCTTTCGATTCACTGAGTTTGACTGTGCCATTCAACAGGTCATGGGCCCAGGCACCCAAACATCGGAAAAAGTGAACGAAATTAAAGGTTTTATTGGGAAGTAGCTAAGGGAAGAGAGTTCTGGTAAAAAGACAAAATGGCGGCATCGATTTCGCAGGTTGCAAATGTAAAACCTTTTGATGGAAATGGATATTCCAACTGGGAATTTCGAGTAAAGTTGTGTCTCGAACAGCATGGAGTATTAGAAGTAATT